CATGTACAAATAGTTTTGAAAATATACTGATTATTTTTTTTTACTTATATTATAATTTGTTCTCAATTACTTTGTGCCACCTGTATAATGATTAAGTCAAAAAACTAAATTTTTTTTTCTTTTTATATTAAAAAGCAAAATTAAACTGACATTTTTAATACAAACATTTTTTTTTCAAAAGTAAACATTTAAATATTAATTTCATGAGGTGAACAAATATCAAGTGCAGCAGTTGCCAAATAGTTTTGTATTCATATACACAAAAATATATGATATATAGATATACATATAGATACATGTATGTATATGTGTGTATATTAAAGTATGTATATGTGTGTATATTAAAGTATATGTATGTATATATGTGTATATATTAAAGTATGTATATGTGTGTATATTAAAGTATGTATATGTGTGTATATTAAAGTATGTATATGTGTGTATATTAAAGTATGTATATGTGTGTATATTAAAGTATGTATGTATATGTATATATATTAAAGTATGTATATGTGTGTATATTAAAGTATGTATATGTGTGTATATTAAAGTATGTATATGTGTGTATATTAAAGTATGTATATGTGTGTATATTAAAGTATGTATATGTGTGTATATTAAAGTATGTATATGTGTGTATATTAAAGTATGTATATGTGTGTATATTAAAGTATGTATATGTGTGTATATTAAAGTATGTATATGTGTGCACATACATGCATGCATGCATGTATATACTTTAATATAACATAATAGTAAATATTTCTGTTTTACTATTACATTCAAAGCTCCGTATTTTACATTGAGCATTTTTATTTTTTTTTTTTTACTACATGTGCACTTTTAGTGCAAATATTAATATTATATATAAGTAAATACATTTTAACTGTAGAAGTTAAAATTTTTGTTAAAAATTAATGCAATTATAAGATTGTTGTTGCCAAAACAACATTTAAAATTTTTTTTTCTGTTTATGGCATTTGACATTGAATCTAAACCATTTTCAATCCCATATTAACATAAAGGAAATCATAATTCTCAAATAATAAATTTGTGAAATTTAAAAAGTAAGATAAGCATGTCTCCCTAACACCTTCCACACTTTAACATGTTACTCTTAAAATCATATAAAAGAATTTATAATATAAAATTGATGTTCTTAATATAAAAAAATAAAAAAGATTATGGACTCATTATCATCCCTACTTAGTTTATTTATTTTACAAAAGAAAAAAAATAATCACTTTTTTTTAGCAATTTCTTAAAAAAGGAATAAGAGCATATTTTAATTTTTATGATAGTTAAATTTAAATGAATTTAAAGATATTTACTTATATATTACTAATGTAATAATAATATACCTAAATAACTCCAGCAAAAAATATCAAGTGACTTTGTTGGAAAAATAAAAATGTTTTTAAGTGAAATGCATATATTGTTTTTGTACTAAAATTTACAAATTCCAGTTGGAGATTAAATTTCTTTTTAGGATAATTTTCATATCTTACCTTTCATAATGAAAAATTTATAAATTTAAATAAATTCAAACGGATAAAATATTTTCCTACAAAAGATTGTGAAGTTTTATATAAATGTTTACAAAATTATTTTATTAGTTCAGATGTTGCTAAAGCTTCTGAACTAAAAAAGAAAAAAGTGTAAATTGTAAGCACTAAACTTACAATTTGTTAGCACCAATAACTACAGGTAACAAGTTAAGCAACATTTTCATTGGTAACTCTTGAAATGGTAACAATTTATAAATAATATTGTAGACAAAGCTGTAATTACTTGCAGTCTGATATTTTTTTTTAAATCTTTACATTTCCTTATAGGTTGTGTACCTTTCCACTTGTAAAGAGATTGTTAACACCATCACAATTTAATGAGTTACTACTTTTGGGGAAAAAATTGTTTTCATGCTTACAAAGTCTTTTTGCCTGTGAAACAGCATAAATGAAATTTTCTTATGAGGTTATTGAGTATATTGAACTGAAAGAGTTTTTCTAAATGTCTGTTAGAAAAATACATACAATAGAATTTGTCAAACTAAACAACACAGACAAAAAAAAGTAGAGAGAACAAAGAAAAAGCAATAAAAAAGATGAAAGAAGAAAAAAAAAATGAAATAAAATAAGTTATTTAAAGTATATTTCTTTATATACTTCAGAAGTTTTATTCATACTAATAGTTGTTTTAAATGCTTTACATAGAGCATTTATAACAATACTAGCAATACTAGATTTTATAACAATACTAGCAATACTAGATTTTATAACAATACTAGGTCATTAAAATTAACAAATGTATACATTTGTTATACTCATAATTTTTCTTCTTGCTGAAGCTAGTATTTTATTAAAAAAAAAAAGTCTTGCAGCTGCACAATTTAATTAAACAAAGTTTATTCATAAATTGTTGCTTTGCAGAATTATCAATGTATACTATAAGAAATGTTAACATTGTATTGTTAAATTTCAAAATTGTATTTACATTTTTTCTAATTATGATCTGGTTATATTTACAATACAAGCAATTCTTACTTGATTATTCAAATTAAACATTTTCTTATCTAAAAGATTTCAGATGTTTCAAATTATTTATTCAGCCAAATGTTATAAAATATTGGATAAATTGTATGTACTTGTAACAGCTAGAAATAAATTTTAAATTATACAATTCATAACATCCTACTAACAAAGAAGAAAGGTACCATTTATAATTAAAAAAAAATTAGCTAAGAAATTACATGTAATAAAAGGGAATTTAATCTAGTTAAAAAAAAGTAGCATTAACAAATATCATGAAGATAGTTGCTGTTGGGCTAAGTTAATAAACAATTATGTCAAAGAGTGCACTGCTTTTCTAAAAAAAAAAAAACAAAAAAAAAAAAAAAACTTCAGCATTTTAAGCCCCAAAATATGTTGAAGCTGAATAAATAATTTTCAGCTTTTTAGTTTATAAAATTTCAACCCCAAAACCTGTTGAAGCTGAATAACTATATTATTTAAACAATTCTGGCAACCATGGAAAGTTTCATTTGCTTCTATGTGAATCCATGATTGTCTCAAAGTTTTTATCACATTCAACTGATTTGTTTACCAAACTAATTTCTACAACTTGAAGGTGACCATTTTAGAAATTATGAATAGTTATTTATTTTTTTGATAAAAAGAATTTACAATTCAGTTCCCAATTAAAAAAAAATAAATTTCATCATTATTATTTTTTTTTTTTACTAGTATCATAAGACAAATTTAATATTTTTTCTAATTAAATTTGAAGTGTGTATGTAATTATTTTTGCCATACTTATAAAAAAAAAAAGAAATTTATCTTTAGATTAAACATAGCAGCAAAATGCCTGCACTGATGATTACTTCTACTGTTGGCTTCTATCACACATGCTTTTTAAACCCATAACATTAACATTTCAGCCTATAAGGTGACTTAAGAGTAATCATTTATAAAGTAGAAAAACCATTAGGAGGCACAAGTGGAAGATGATTCTCATGACCAAATGAGGTCAATAACAAATCAGGCACAAAGCATATTTCCCTCTGTCTTTCATAATTCTTCTTAAATAAAGACAATAAATTCTATATTAATAAGATGTGAATTAAAATAAGCCACTAGGGTAAAAAGGTTTTGAAAAGAAATATTTTTGCACCAGAATCTATTCTTGCACATTTTTAAGTCTACTATTCTGCTGTATATCTAGAGATTCATGACAGAATCCAAAAAGAATCTGCAATGTTATCAATCTTGACTTGGCATCTCAGCTTCAATCACTTTCCTAATAATATAACACAGCTTCTGTGTGCCTTCTTTATAAATATTTTTCACTGTAATTGTTCTGATGAGCTTTCCTCATTGGTATCTTGACTTCATAAATTTAAGCATAATACTAGATTGGCAGCTAGGTCTTATCATTTTACTATTGAAATTCCTAGTTGTAACCATAAGCTCTATGCTAACAATTTCTTCTCTCAGATTTCTCACTTGTGGAACTCTCTTCTGGCTTTTTGCTTTACAGTCAACTGCAATCTTCAAAAAATTTAAACGCAATGTCAATTGTCATTTTCTGTCTATTTGAATTCTGTTCTTTTTATTGTCTTTTCTTCTAGGTTACATTTTCTCAGTTTGCTTTACTCTCAGTAATCCCCTGCATCTTAGTGGCTTTATTTTCTTACATAGAGTGAAATGATAAAAAATAAATAAATAAATAAGACAAAACAAATTTGATAGATTGGAAAAAAAAAAAAAACTAGCAAAGTCTCCCCTACCCACATCTGTTTTCTTTTTTGTTGTTGCTTTTTCTTATTCTACAGATCAGGTTAATTTCTCCCTAAAAAAAGTGGTAACAAAATTTATCTTGTGGTGTACTGTTTTCTCCCACCCACTATTTAGCAGATATTTTTGTAAACTTTTGGTTTACAAATTAAACCATTCCTTTTTTATCTGATTATTATCATTAGTAATAATAATTTTTTAAATATATTTAGAATTGTCATCATCATCATTATTATAATCTTTACAATATAATCTTTATTATCTTTATCAATATAAACTTTACACATATCATCAGTGCAAACACTATCTTCTTACCCTTGGGTCGAGTCATTGGCCCTTGTCAAACACCTTATGAGATATACAAATAACTAATGTATCTTATAACTTATTACACTTCTATATCAAATTTGGATAAATATGTGATCAATTTAAAACCTATATTGATATATTTAAAAATAAGATTTAGCACAGGCTTAAATAAAGAGAAATCTAAAGTCAAAATGTTTAATGATTAAAAATAAAATCAGTGAAATAAAGATTTCGTAAATGTGAAAATTCATATAACAACATGGTATTAATAAGTATAGAAATAATATAAATTTAAAAATCACAAGTTTTTTTTAAGCATCTAAATCAAAACAATATTTGAAGAAAGTTTGAAAAGAAAATCATTATAATATAAATAAACATTTGATTCAATAGTCATGTTCATTTGTAAAGGCAAAAAAAAGAGAAAAAAAAGGCAAAAAAAGAGTAAAAAAAAAAAGGCAAAAAAAGAGTAAAAAAAAAAAGGCAAAAAAAGAGTAAAAAAAAAAAAAAAAAAAAAAAAAAAAAAAGCAAAAAAGGTAAAAAAAAAAAAGGCAAAAAAAAGGTAAAAAAAAAAAAAAAAAGGCAAAAAAAAGGCAAAAAAAAAAGAAAAAAAAGGCAAAAAAAGGCAAAAAAAAAAAAAAGAGCAAAAAAAAAAAAAAAGAAAAAAAAGAGAAAAAAAGGCGAAAAAAGGAAAAAAGTAAAAAAAAAAGGCGAAAAAAAAGTAAAAAAAGGAAAAAAAAGTAAAAAAAAAAAGAAAAAAAGGTAAAAAAAAAAAAAAAAAAAGAAAAAAAAAAAAAGAAAAAGGAAAAAAAGAAAAAAGGCAAAAAAAAAGGCAAAAAGAAGGCAAAAAGAAGAGAGAAAAAGGCAAAAAGAGAGAGAAAAAGGCAAAAAAAAGAGAAAAAAGGCAAAAAAAAGAAGAGAAAAACAGCAAAAAAAGAAGAGAAAAACAGCAAAAAAAAGAAGAGAAAAACGGCAAAAAAAAGAAGAGAAAAACGGCAAAAAAAAGAAGAGAAAAACGGCAAAAAAAAAGAAGAGAAAAACGGCAAAAAAAGAAGAGAAAACGGCAAAAAAAGAAGAGAAAAACGGCAAAAAAAAAAGAAAAAAAACGGCAAAAAAAGAAGAGAAAAACGGCAAAAAAAAGAAGAGAAAAACGGCAAAAAAAAAGAAAAAACGGCAAAAAAAAAGAAGAAAAAACGGCAAAAAAAGAAGAAAAAACGGCAAAAAAATAAAAAAAGGCAAAAAAAAAATAAAAAAAGGCAAAAGAAAAAAAAAAAAAAGAGAGAAAAAAAAGGCAAAGAGAAAAAAAATAAAAAAGAAAAAAAAAAAAGATAAAAAAAGGCAAAAGAGAGAAAAAAAGGCAAAAGAGAGAAAAAAAGGCAAAAGAGAGAAAAAAAGGCAAAAGAGAGAGAAAAAAAGGCAAAAGAGAGAGAAAAAAAGGCAAAAGAGAGAGAAAAAAAGGCAAAAAAAGAGAGAAAAAAAGGCAAAAAAGAGAGAAAAAAAAGGCAAAAAAGAGAGAAAAAAAGGCAAAAAAGAGAGAAAAAAGGAAAAAAAAAAAAAAGAGAGAGAAAAAAGGCAAAAAATAAAAACAAGTTGAAATGTGCTTCAGGATAGGAAAAGTGAAAAAAATAATGCTAAAGTAAATGGAATTATAAGTAACAAAACTCAAAAGGTAGAAAAATTCTTTGGTATTAATTTCAGGGAAAAAATGATACAGATTCAATAAGAATTCTTTATTTATGATGATATTTTATTAAAGTCTTTATAAACTCTGGCAGAAAAAAGTAAGATATAATAAGTAAGAAGGAATTACTACTTTTAAGGAAGAATTGTGTTTGTGGATATTTTATGATTTTTAATAAGACTAAAAAAAAATTAAAGAAATATTGTTATTATTTATCATTGTATTCATTACAACTAAACCAATGAAAGTACTATAATAATAGCAATATAGTATTAAAAGTAATAATGATGATAGTAAGAAAATGTTAATATTCTTATACTTGGTGCAGTATTAATAGTAAAATTAGTAGTTAGTCATAAAAAGAATTTAAAACAGTATAAAACAAATTATGCCTTGTATTTTAAGAAAAAGATATATAAATCTTTTGTTATTTTTCTAGTTACATACAGTGATAAAATAGTGTAATAATAAATTTTGTTTTATATAAGGCAATATTTGATAATCCTGCCCTTTTCAACTTATGTGGCTGAAAGCCCAATAAGATAACCAAAATTAGGACATCTTTTTATTAAATATATCTCTGAAATATATATCACATATTGCCATTGGTACAATATCAGCAACACAGTCACTGATAATTAAATGACAATTGTTTCTTCTGATAATGTTGATTAGATGATAATAAAAAGTGAATACATATATTTTCTCAATGCATTATAAAGACCCACTAGGCTGCTGATTTTAGATAGAGTCCCATTAATTAAAAAATGAGAAAGTCCTAACAACATGTAATTGTGCTACTGAGAGACTAACAAAATCCCCTCCCCAGTTTTATACTTGCAAAAATAAGTGAACATTTAAGACCTAAAACAGATTCTCAACTGGTATCAAACTTTTAGTCCATTAGTCATTGTACAAAAATATTATTTAGCAGTCAAATAAGCCTAGGCTTTCAATTAAAAGACTTCAGTTTGATTTTTAGATATGAAATCTTGATCTATGACTGTAAATATCCAATTATACAGATTTACTAAAAATGTTTTTAAAAACTAATAACCTCTTTAAATAATAAACAAACACTGATGTGAAAAACAGCAAAGATAAATTTAAAAAGAAATATTTTTTAGTTCTAAGATAGAAAAAGTGATGTTAAGGTTTCTGCCAAAGATAGAAATTTTGGTTGGATTAGTTCATTTTATGAACAGATATATAAAAATGTTTCGTCTATCATTTTAATTACCATTTTTCAAGTTACAGTATTTTAGCAAAATAAATAAATAAATAATTAAAAATAAAAAAAAAATGAATCAACAAAAACATAAATGATTTTAATATAAAATTAAAAAAATTATTTATCTTGAAAACTAAATTTCTCATTGTAATATATAACTGATTGATTGAAAACAGGTTTAAGAAATATATTTTTAATATTCAATCTGTTTTTGCTTATATAAAACATTGAAAAATCTGTTAATTTTTATCTGGGTGGACAGATATTCCCAGTTGAGAGTAGTGGTCTCAAATTTTATTTTAAAGATCTACAAAGATTTCAGAAGGTTCAAATCAGATAATTTATAAAATTTTATAAGCAATTAGAAGTTAGGTTCTAATGATAAAATGATATTGTTAGGGATTAAATGTTAGGTATGTTGAAAAATTTAAATAATTTTAGCTAAACTAATTATTCTTATTCTTTACAATGTTTTTATTTTTCTCAAGTTTAAAACATTTTACAAATTTCAATATATCTTATGAATGATAAGATATATCAAAATTAAAGTCCAATAAGTCCTCAATTTGAAATCTTTGAATTTTTAGCAGTCTATATGAAATATCTTTATCTAAACTAGAAACAAGGCTAGAGGTTTATTCTTTGTTTCGGATTGAGTTTCCAATTTCTTCTAAAATCTTATTCTTCTTCACTCCCAATAGCCCCTTGTGTCTTAGTGGCATTATTGCCTTGCGAGGGGTGAATTGATTAAAAAAAAAAAAATTGCCTGTTCTCTATATGCAAAAACAAGAATGACAATATTCAACATTGTTACACTTGACTGTTTCTTTTTACTAATTAACTTTTTGATTTTGTGATATACACACCAGGAAATGTTTCATATTTTTCAACATTAAAAGAGTTTGGAAATTAAAAAGAAAAACATATCTTAAATATTCAATTTTCTTTTTAATATATAATGTAATAATGACAATATAACTCAATGTAATAATATAACAACAATATCAACAACATATGAAAACATTTGCTCATCATTTTTAAAAAATACTTAAAGCATATTAATCATGAAAAAAAGAATCCACTGATTTTACTTTAGGTATTCAGATTAAAATAAAGGATGTTTAAAATATAAAACAATAACAGGTTACAAAAATATCTCTACATTTTTAAGTTTATGGCAAGCATTCTGAATACAATCTATATAATTCTGCATTTTTTAAATAATAAAAAGTTGTAGTAGTAGCAGTATTAATAGTAGCAGTATTAATAATAATAATTTGATCTGAAATTTGAAAGCTTACATTTTGACTAAAAATTTTAACATATAAAAATTGTATTTATTTGTTTGACTTTGCAAAGATCAGTTGTTTATTTCAAGATGCAGGATTGAACAAAATTGAACCTGAGCAAAAATAACAATAATATACCCTGCCCTTGTAAATGCAAAATAATTAACTTTTTTATATATATATATATATATATATATATATATATATATATATATATATATATATATATATATATATATATATATATATAAATTCAAGTTCCTTTTACTATCTTGATATTTTTAAAGACACTGGATCTTAGAGACAAGTTAATAACCCAAAATAACAGAACAAAATTTTGTATAATTTTAATATTATACACTTCTGTCAATAACTTTGGTGTCTACATGACTTGTTGGATTATATATATATATATATATATATATATATATATATATAAAGGAAAAAGACAATAGGAAAACTGTAGTTTTAGCCAACATGTTTCATCTTATGTGAACTTTTTCAAGGCAAAAAACGAAATGAATTTATTGAAACAAAGTATCTATAAATGACAAACAAAGCAACTAGAAGAATTTAGAAATGCTATTGTATATTCATATGGTCAACTGAAAAATTACGACAATTACTTTGCTTGAAGAGAATATTTTCACATGTAGAAATAATGTTTGTATTGTTGTGTTGATGGAAGTAGTATTATGTATCTGTTCCCATATAATTTATTATTATGGATGTTATTTTTGTTGCAAAAAACAACTTAGCTAATGCACTAGTCATACATAGAAATAAATTCAACCATAATTTTGATTTTAAAAATGCTACACTCATAAAAAAGAAAACTCACTCAGGAGGAAAATTCTGGAGAGTGCCGCCATAGAAAATTACCCAAATATTAATCTACGCCCAGGTTTTTTTCCCCATTTCAGCTTTCTTAACATAATTACTGCTCTTACAAACAAATATACACAACAGATTCATAAAATCAAAAGAAAATGGTTGAATACATCAACACAGATATAATGACAATATTCTCCACACGTGACAAATACTGACATTTTTCAGTTAAAAATATGAAAATAGCGTTTCTCTACATTCCAGTTGCTAGGTACATTCTGTTTTTGTTTTTATTAGTTACTTTATTCAATTAATTTCATTTTCGTATTTTGCTTTGATAAAGTCCACATTGGACGAAACGCGTCAGCAATTACCAGTTTTCCTATTGTCATTTTTATTCATAAATATTGTCTTCTCTACTGGTTAAATCAGAGAAATTTATATATATATATATATATATATATATATATATATATAATAAAAAAAAGGCTATATATGGATTTCCTGTTTTAAGGTCATTGTACTTAAGTCTGCTTCTTTTTTTTTTTTATCCATGATTTATCTTATTCATTTAGTGTTTGATGAGAATAGTATTTACTCAAATTTCACATAATAGATTTGATAAAATATGAATAAGAAAGATTCATATTTAACAATATAATCTTTCATTAAATGGGAATTTTACTGAAACATTTTTTTTCCTATTGATAAAAATTAATTCCCATTGTAGTTTATTTACAAATAATTTTTTGGTACAGAATAAAATCATTCTTTCAAACATGTTCTATAAAGCATCATCCCCATTAGAGCCATGTCAACACCAAAAACATAAAATTATTTTTTTTATTTTTCAAAGAAACAGAATTTTCACAATATAAATTGAAGTGCCAAAAATTAGAGACTGTATACACTGGATGGTTTCAACATCCTTCACTTGTAGAAATGGATTCAGCTGGATTGTGTATGTGTGATATAATAGGTAAAGAGGTAGTGTAACTGTGGCTACCAAAGAGACATGGACAAGATTTAACATTTTGGTCACGGAATGATTGTTGGACACATAAAAAAAGGAGCATTATGGTTTTTTATTAGACAACAATAGCAAAGATATACCAAGGTTATGTACATCTCAGACATATTAGCGGAGGATAAGAACAGGGTGCCCAATAAAAGAAAGCATGAGAACAGGGTGCCCAATAAAAGAAAGCATGGCATCAAATCACATTTCAATTTTCTACTGGTGTTACTCAACAGGTCAGTGAATGCATGAGACAGTTTGCATTGTATCAGTTAATTGTGTATCACCTGGGTCAGTTCTTTTGAGTAGTCAGCAGAAGAGGCCACAGGAAATTATTGATTCAGCCTGTCAGCAAGATGATCGGCACTGAAATGGTGTTGGGTGTCTTCTGTTGAGGTGGGGAGGGTCATATGGATCACTAATGAAACTGGAGTCTATATTGAGAGGTGTGATATACACTAATCATTAATGTAAACCATTTGCACATCACTATGTATAACTATATGATTGTTAGGGCCCGGGCTATAATGGTGTTGGGTGTATCCTGTCAGGGATTCATGTAGTCATTTTCTGCACTCTTTTATAGTTGCCACATTTTCCAGCAACATTTTATGTCCCCACTCCTCCTACCAACATCAACCCCACCTTCAACATCATGTGTGGGTGACATGCATCTGGTTTCTGGAACACCTGGCTGATTTCCAGTTACTCCAATACTACCTGCTAGATTTAAACCCCACCTGGGTACATACATGACATGATGCAAATTTTACCAAACTCCCTGAAACCACACCCAAAAAACACAACTCACTTATGATCACGCTTGGAAATATATCTACATAACAATTCTAACACCTCATAAATTTCATACCATATCACATAGCTGCCATTATTCAGATGAAGGAAGGAGATACATTTTATCAGGTCATGATCATGAATACTGTAACCTCTTAAGGTCATAGGAGCACCACATCTACTGCAGCCATAGAAGTAGTGAGGTGTGTCTCCAGTCTGATATTATCAGGTAGCAGTCTCTAAATTTTCAACATTTCTGTAGTCAATTGTAGCAATTCATAATTTCATTTTCAAGCAACGTCATAAATCAAAACATATGGACAAAGAAAATTATAGGGTCATATATCCTTATATAGTAACTGATAATTAAAATTAATAATTAACTGTAAATAGTAATTAATGAAAATGGTAATTATTGCAAATCAATAAATATCAAAAATGATTATTGATTAATGAATTACCTCTTTTTAAATGAAAAGAAAAATTTGGTGAAAAATGTAAGATTTAATTCATAAAACTGCAAAAAATGTTATGAATGTGGATTTTTTTCATCATTATTGATTTGGAAGAAACAAATGGCCTTCAAATTATCAAGTTCAGTAATAAAATAAAACCTTTTCACAAGTCTATCACGTTTAGAATATATTCATTAAGGGAAAAATATACATGGACAATAATGTGTTGGTGTATGCTATTTGTATAGATAGCTTTTAAGAAAATCTCCATTTTGTAAAGATGTGACTGTACATATATAAAAAGAAAAAAAAAAAAATGGCACACATGATATTTAGGCCTTTTATTCCCACATAGGATTTGGCAGCAGATTTTCTTTTCTCTCATGGTTTATTGTTTTCTGCTCAGGATGTCAAAATTTCTCTGCACTTTTGAATAATTTTGTTGCTTTTGATTATTATTATTAGTGCGTATTTATCTGGACAACTAGGATTATAATATAGCCGAGAATTCAAGATTACTATCATTATAAATAGTTTCCATATCTTAATTTACAAAGATTTTTAATATATTTAACTCCATTGATTTTTTAGTTTCAAACAGTGGTAACCACCATCATTAATTACAAATCATTATCTGTGATATTTTTTACTGATTACCCTGAATATTCCAATAAAGATAAATTTAGTTTTAGCATTCAAGTTAAAGATGTTTTTTTTAATGTTTACACTGAAGCTTTTATATTTGGACACTTACAGAAGAATCTGTATTATTTCTTTTGTAACTTGATAATTATTTGCAAATAACAAATGCTTTTTATTATGTAACCATTTCATATCTACAGATATATATTTTATCATTATTGCTTGATATGGATGATAAAAGATCATTATAGATAATTAATATAAGTTAACATTCTGGAAACTTATGTTGCCAATAAAAAGTACAGTGGGTTTTATCATGATTTCTTTTTAAAATCTTTCTATTAACATTATTGTGTATCAAATACATACTTGGACATTTTACTGCCGCTGGTGTGTATTAGATGTATTTGAGTTGGATGACTGACGTAAAATTTGTCCATGGGTAGTGGGCAGGATTTGGAATGGCAAAAATTGTTGTTGCACAGGTTGTTGAATAGTAATTGGCTGGGATAAGATGTTAAACTGAGAAGTTGAAGGTGTACTGGGGATTTCTGTGGTTGGAGATGTAAATGTAGTGGGGTTCATCATTAACATTTGGTTACCTGAAAAAAAGATAAATACAGAACATATTGAATCAATAAATATTAACAGATATACTTACCCGTTTAATATCCGACATATCAAAACTTAATTATCAAGGTAAATTTATGGACAGATTCTATAAAAAATATTTTATAGAGAACTAATATGTTTAATATAAATTTGAACATATGAGAATATATTTTAAAGCAAAGGGTTTGATAAAAGTTAAAAATAAAGATGAACATGTAAAATAAATCCACATTTTAAAGTTATTTTAAGCTGTTCTGGATAAAATACTTTAATCTTTATGTATTTACTTTAAAAGAAGAGGAAAGTCATTATAAGATATGGCTGCTCAGATTTAGAAATTTGGGATCTGATATTACAAAAATATATGTAATTGTTCATTTAGTGGGTGATTAATTAATTTGTTGTTTTTACTTTTTGGGGTTTAAAATAACATCTTTACATTTTTAACAATATGTATGTTTTCAAATAAGAAAAGGACCAAATAAATAATCTTAACTGTATACTTCCATTTTACAAATTAATCAAATTTTTTTTTTATTATTAACTTTTCTTATTTCAACTAATTCATGTGATTAAGATTTAATAAATATTGAATAATTTAAAGAGATATAAATTATTTTCTGTGGCTTTTTACCAGAGTTGGTTGCATCTGCAATTGGCATAAATTGATGAGCAAGTGCTAATTCTTCAGTAATCTGTCTCAACTCTTCTTGTTGCCTTAAGATGGTCTGCTGGAGTTGCTGGGATTTGAACTGCAACTGTTTGTGAAGCTGTCTTTGTGCTGGAGTCATAAACAACTGTGGGAACAAATTCTACAATAATAAAAAGTATTGTTAACAATGATCTCAAATTGTTACAGTCTTTATATTTATTTATTTATTTTTTTTTTTTTTTACTAGAAAGGCCCATGAAAATTTCATGGTTTAATTTAAATTTTCCTATTTAAAATTTCTGATGAATCTTAATTCCTCAGTTAATGACCGAATAAGCTCATGGTGAGTTCTATGACAATAATCCATAGAAATTCCCCTATCACATCATTAAATATTTGAGCTTAACAACTTTAACAAAATATTGCAATAACAATCATTCTATTATAATGATTGTGCTTGTCTCTTTTCAGCCTTTTGGCTAAAATCAAAGTATAGTATCTGTTCTTATCAGCATAATTTGATTTTCTTTCTCTTCTCCACGTCTATTTATCTTTCATTCATTGAAAATAAGTAATGTCTTTTCTCTTCTTTCCATGTGATCAAAACGGAATAGTCCATTATTTATGAGGTATTGACAGGGGGTAACGGTAGTGCCAAATAACAAAGTGTGTGACAAGCATAGTTATAAGATTAGTTTTCAGAAATAATGTTTGATTTAATTCTTCATTTTTGGAGATTATGAATAAAAAAAAATATGAATATTGTCTTTTCATTAGAAGAAAAAAAGGTAATTGAGTATTACATCAATAATAATTATTTAGGTGAGACTTTAACCATTTAGCTTTTTTGTTAACTGATTTCAGGTAAAATATTAATAAATTAAGGAATGAATAGCATTTTCATACAAAATCACATTTTACACATTTCTAATGAAAAATAATATTTACTATAAATCAAATCTACATTTCCAAATTCATTAATAATTATCTCTTCAGTAATTTTTAATTAAAAGCAAAATGTAACAAGTTTCATAATTTCTTCATAGAAGTTCATGTCAATCAAATTTAAAAAGCAAAAGCCGTATCTACATACGTCCTATGAATATATGAGCATTTTTACAGCTATAAAATTTTAAAAACACAGATTAACCAACATCCACAAATAATACATATATATGATTATAAATTTAACAGAAGATGAATAAATATTCTCAATATTTTGCTTCTTTTTTTTTTCCCAAACATTTGTTACTGAATAGTAATCACCATGTGAAACTATCATACTATTTTTAAGATTTTTTATTTTTAATTGCTTATTGGCAAAGGCAAAAATTAAGAATATTGCAACACATTAAGATTGTTGTATTAATGCCAAGATATGAAAATAGATAATTTTTACTTAAGAAATTATTAATTTAGATCAATTGATGTATGCATAAAAATCTATTTAGAAAACATAATAATGTATTATTTTTTCTTTTATATTAAAAAAAAAATGCCAAAGCAAAAATGAGGATGAAAGCTGCTTAATTAATGAAAAATATATAAAATGAACAGAAAATTGAACAAAAAGTATGTGGAAAGAAACAATGTAGTCAAGTACTTCTTTAAAGAAATGTTATGTAAGAAAGGAAGAGAACAAATAAGAAAGTAAAAGTCCAAATAATGCATCTTTAATGCAATTATATTAAAATAAAACTAATCAAATTAAAAAAAATCTAAAGAAATGTAGCAATACAATTTCTCACACATTCTTAAGAGATGAATAGATATACAGTGCTGTTTGATAAAAGTGACTCACCCGATTTTTTTTTTTTTTACTAAATGTTCTCTTCTCTGATGAACGAAAGTTGAGCTAAATTCAAAGGATAAGCGATCTAAAATCCGAAGAAGAAGCTTTGAAAGCTCTTTGAATTTAGCAGTAAGTACTGTCAAGCATCCGTTCAATATAATGTTCTGGGGATGCTTTTCTTTTCAGGGAACTGGTTTCTTAAAACCTATTGAAAAGACCCTCTGGAGCAAGCAGTACAAGAGAATTTTAGAGGCTTGTCTGCCCCGTTCTGCTGAAAGGGTGCAAATTGACTCTATCAAGCTCATTTTTATACAGGATAATGCTCCCTGTCACAAACCAAAATTGATGAGAAGCAGGTGAGTGTTATGACATGGGCACCCAATCTCCTGAGCTCAACCCCATAGAAAACTTATGGAGCATTATGAAGTATAGGCTCTCGAGAAAGCAGTTGAGCAACATGCTCCATAGGTTTTCTTTCATCGGAGAAGAGAACATTTAGTAAAAAATATCAGGTGAGTCACTTTTATCGAACAGCACTGTATATTTTTTCCTTTAAATTCAATTTAATGACCAGGATTCTTCAGGAATCCTGTCTCCAGGCCACCTTTGAATAGACAAACATATAATGAATCAGACATGGAGTGAAGGGACAGTCAGTGAGTTAAGTGAGAAATCGTATTTTTTTTATTTATTTTTTTTTAAATTACTTCCCAACCCAAGAGTCTTGAAAAGCAATGAGAATTCAACTGCTCTATACTGATACATTACCACTCCAAGTATTCATTTTTACTTGAAGAAATAGATATTTCTATGAATAATTTTTATACTCAATTGATAAATGAAATAATCTGTGCTTAATTTCTTAAAAAACTAAGACTTATAACCTTATAATTTGATTCTACACATAAGTGATTTTTGTCATTAAAATAATTTAAAGTCAAATTTATTATACAGTGTTAAAAAAAAAAAAAAAAAAAAAAAAAAAAAAAATGGCATCATTTTGTTCCAGGCAAACAAAATTAAATAGGCTTCAAGTTGAAAAATAGAAGATTTATTTATCAAAATTTGAACTAGATATGATACAATTCCTGTTTTGATCATTAAATATTATAAATATCAAGCAATTACTTTCAAAGGTAAATAGAAAAGTGAACCCATATATTTTCTTACTAAAAAAAATTCCAAAGAAGATCTAAACTGCACCAGAACCTTACTAAATATATCAAAGTACTTACAGTTGAAGCTTGGGAAAGTCCTTGAGGCAGTGATAATCCAGACACAGCTAATGTAGGTTGGCCTTGATTTAGAACAGTGGATATTTGCTTTATAAAAGGCAAATGTTATATGAATTAAAAATCAGATTCAAAAAAAAAAAAGTCGTAGAAGAAAAATTCTAAATGAAGATCTCACCAAAATAATGATTAAAAAGAAGAGAAAAAGATTTTAATCAAATTAAATAAAGTAAAAATTTCACTGACAAGAAGTGGAGAAGAATTTTATGCAAACAGTAAATAAAGAAAGTAGGGATCACTATGTTGATAAGGAATTTTATCAAAGTTTTCTTTTAATTCTATAATTTATTTAAATTTCTTAATTATATTTACACATTTCACATCAATTCTATTTGTAAAAAGATTGACAGTTTTAATTATTAAGAAACTCAAAATAACATTAATTTATGACTGAATGAATTGCCAATCATTTGCAAAAAGTTGATTTATAAACATCTCAGTCATTATTAGTTATCCTACAAACAAACAGAAATTTATTTCACAAATTTGAAATGCAGAAAAATATCACCTAATGTCTTTTGCAAACATTTATCCACCAAACAAATTCTGATGTTTGGTCATGTGATCAGATGTTAGGAAGTGGGTTAGTTACTTTTGCCATATATTTATAAGTATTTTTTGTTAATCTGACAAACCTTCAGTATCTCCTGCAGCTAAGCTAGTCACAAATGTAATGCCTTGTATTCCTTTGGTTATTGGTGGCATGGCCACGAGGTGGAAGGAGGCAGGCATGGACAGAGCACTGCTTCCATATACCTTCACCCAGGTTTGCATCTAGGAGAAGGTCACTCCAGTTTCACCACTAAAAAACTGAATTTTGACCAAACAAGATGCTACCATTATCTTGTGAGATAACTGGATACCTACTACTACTAGTGTTAAACAATTAAAAACTAATTTAACTGTAATTTACCCTACTTTAAAACTTTAAATTAAGTAAGCAATATTGCTAAATAAAACAATTTATGAGTGTCAAAATTCTTTTTGAAAATTAGGTTCCTTTAATCTATTATAGATACACTTTTTAAAAACAAATGTGTGTGTGTGTGTGTGTGTGTGTACACCCACACAAATCCTAGCATGTACATATTTGTAATTAATAATTATGAAGTTAAAAGTGCACCTCAGAGTAAAATTATCCCTAAGTTTGATCTTTACTAGTTTGTATCCTGATTGCGACTCATTGGAATCAAAATTTTAAAAAAATTTAATCAAAAGCATATGCAAGTATATAACATGGGAATAATGTTGATGCAATAAATATAAATAAATAGATGACATTTTCTTTACTTATTAATAAACAGACCTTGTGAACTTGCTATGTTTTATATTAAAATTCTTTTTTCATTCTCTTTACAAATCTTTGGCAAGAAAATGAACGTTGTCCTTATAAATATATTAATATAATATGTATGAAAGTAGAATCATAGCTTTAGAAATGGAGAAACTTTCTGTTTGAACGCATCTTAAAAATTCTAATTTTTATCATAATCAATAAAAATGATTCCACAAGCACATAACTAATAATTAAAACATTAAACTTAAAGTTATGTTATTGAAACTGAAGTTGTTGGTTTTAAAACTAAGAAAAAAAGTTTAATATTTCATTCTGATCATAAAATATTATGATCTGTTGGAAGTAGATATAAAATTATATGCATAAGATAATATAGTTTTAGATGCATAAATCAGTTCCTACCCAGTCTATTATGTTCACCTTTTGTATTAATGCTTCTGGTAAAGGTATGAATTTATCTCTCCTCCTACGATACATGGGTTAAATAGAAGGATAAACTGGGTGCCTTGGGTGGCAGCCAGTCAAAAAGTACGAAACTGAATTTCAAATTGTGGAGATAGCAATAGGAAGCCATTCCACTAGCTTTCTTAAGAAATTTTGGAAATTCACAGAAAATAAAGAAATAGGATTTGTGGAGAGACATTTTATTAAGAAAAAATAAAATTTATCTGAGAATATTTTCACAAAAAGAATTGACTGAATTAGTAGAATAAAACTATTTTAAATGAGTAATTCTCCTGTCACATTATTTACTTTAAATATCTTAAAAAACCATTTACAAACATTTTTTTAAAAATTATTTTGATTTAGCTGATAACTAAAATACATTCCACATTTCAATAAAATATAAACACCACAATTTGGGAAAACCAAAGAAAAATTTAGTAAAACCCATGCAAAAGGAAGGTTTTTATAGAATGCAAAGAAAAATGAAGTTATTCAGACTATTCTTATATCTTAAACTTATAATGAAGTTTATTTTTTTTTAATAATGAAAAGAAAAATTTGATTACTTTATACAAGAAAATTATAATGAAAAAAAAAGAAAAAAAAAGAAAAAAAAAAAAGGAATGATATGCAAACACCATGAAAAAAAAACAATTCAATAATTCTAACATGAAGCAAATTGCAAATTTTAAAGCCAATTTTAGTTTATGATTTAAACCTGCATATTTGACACAATATGTTAATTGAATTATTTACAAGTTATATATCATATCTATATACTAATTTCAGTTTTGTACATTTTAAATGCATATAATTTTCTAAAAACTAAACATTTTCAGGTTATCCAAATCCCACAAATGATTTACTAATTAAAAAGCAAATTTTGTGTACAAATAGAATTAAATGTAATTTATGAAAACTAAAATGTGTGTATATGTGCCTCTCTTATATAATATACAGCATACATATGGAAATAAATTTAACCTAATTCAAATGTCTAATATACCATCTTCCTTTCAGTTTTGAAGTCCCTATTTCAATGGCTCAAAATAATAAAATATTTACTAGTGTTTTGAAAACAAATATAAAAGAAGAGAAAAAAGCTTTGTTTTGAAAACAAAATAAAATTGCATTCAAAATTAAAATATCAAACAATTAAAAAACTAAAAAACTAAAGTGAACGTCACACAAGACAACATCAATTAATTTTTCATTTTAAATGTTATTACATTAGTTGTGCAGATCCTTACTAAGTCAGAGCTGACTTGTACAGTCTCCAAGTCAGTGGTCGGAATGGTTGGAGGGGCCATCATCATCATCATCCCAGGAACTGTTAAACTCTGGTGTGGAGATAAATCAGCTGGCTGAAGCTGACTCTGAGAAGTTGAAGGTGAGGGTTGCTGCTGTAGAGATTGATGAGCCACTTGTTGGGATTGTTGTTGCTGTTGCTGCTGTGATTGTGATTGTTGTTGTTGTGTTTGCTGTTGGGATACTGTGGGCTGTGGTGGCGGTAGAGGGGATAGTTGCACTGAAGTTGATAGTTGTTGTGTTTGTTGTGGTGACAGCTGCTGCTGTTGTGTTTGTTGTTGCTGCACTTGTTGCACATGTACTTGTTGTTGCTGCTGCTGCTGTTGTGTTTGTTGTTGCTGTACTTGTTGCACATGTACTTGCTGCTGTTGTGTTTGTTGCTGCACATGTACTTGTTGCTGCTGTTGTGTTTGTTGTTGCTGCACTTGTTGCAGCTGTTGTGTTTGTTGTTGCTGCTGCACTTGTTGCACATGTGCTTGTTGCTGCTGCTGTTGTGTTTGTTGCACTTGTTGCACATGTGTTTGTTGTTGCTGCACTTGTTGCACATGTACTTGTTGCTGCTGCTGCTGTGTTTGTTGCTGCTGCACTTGTTGCACATGTACTTGTTGCTGCTGCTGCTGTGTTTGTTGTTGCTGCTGCACTTGTTGCACATGTACTTGTTGTTGCTGCTGCTGCTGAACTTGCTGCTGCTGCTGCTGGGTAGAAGGAGTATGTATTTGTTGAAATGTGCCAGATGATGGAGGTGGAGGAGGTTGTTGCTGTATTTTTTGTTGTGGTTGCTGCGGCTGGACTTGTGTTAATTGTGATTGTGGCCGAGACTGAAGTTGGGGTTGTAACTGTGGTAGTGACAGTTGTTGCTGGACTGTCAACTGTAACTGCTGCTGCTGCTGCTGCAGTGTTGATTTCTGCTGTGTATGAGCCAACACTGTTGTCACAGTTAGTTCTTCCAAAGTGGAGTGTGGTTTCTCAGCAGTGTCTGCTTGGTCAGTCAGTATCTTTAAATGTCCAGCTTGAAATACACATATAAAAAAAAAAATACTTAATACTAATAAAGTTTTGTTTTGTGGGGTACATAATTTTAATAAAAATAAATACCCAATTTTTATTGATGATGTAAAGTCAGAGGTGTCTAAATTATTTTCAAAGAGGGCCAGATTTGATGAGGTGATTATTGAACTATCTTATAAAATTTTTTTTCATTTCTTCAAATTTAACAGGTCTTACCAAAATCACTCAGCCTGTCACATCTGAAGTCCATATCAGATGATGAAAAATATGTCTGAGAAAAAAGAACTTCCAGTAAGCTATATCTAAGGTTAGTCTTAAACATTACGTATTATTGGTAATTAAAGTTGTCTGTCAACTTTTAAGTTAAAAACATATGAATTTATCTTATTAAGAGATACAAAGCAAAAAGTGACAAGTCCAAGCGTCCAAATATATTTATAACTGATTTGAACCAGCACAAAAATTTAACTCAATAAGATTTTAGAATTTATTCATCTCAGATGACCAAAACAAATAACTTGTCTGCTCTAATGGGAAGGGTAATACTGAATTCTGGACTGCATTATGCAGGCCAGGGTCTGGTTCAAAGGTAGTGATTTTAGAAATTGGCTGGAAAAGGTTATGGTCACACTACCAGAGGGCAGCCACAGAATGCTGCTGCCATCTTTTAATAAAACATGAAATTTCATTTCTTAGATGAGGTGTGTACTTTACATACTCCGATTGACAATACTGCTGGGCCATAATTAATACATTCTATGACAGAGGATGGGGAGGGGATATTAAATTTGACCATGGACCATAATTGGCCCCCAGCAGGACATTGGACATGCTTAATGTAAGTTATAAAGAGCAATCAGTGAATTCTATTGATTTCATACTAAAAAAAACAAAAACAAAAAAAACAAACAAACAACAATGAACAGAAAATCAAACAAACCTGATTGCTTAATCAAAATATATATTAGTTGGAAAGTTTAAAAATATAAAAGGGGACATCAAATAAAGCTATTTCAGGAACCAATGTTTACTTAAAATAAGCTCACCACCATTTTATCCTAAAAAATATCTCTGATAATAATAACCTGAATCATCCATACAGGAAGGTAAGACAAATAAAATTAATAGTTAGGAACATATTCAAAATAGATTCAACAAATTTAACTTTAATTTAGTGACACAAGAATTTAAAATTGAGTTATTTTAGAAATTGAATGACTATGTGCTTGCTTTGATATTTAATATGAAGGATGATGATGATGATGATAATAAAAATACAAAAAGAAATACAAAAAAAATTGTTCTCATGAGTACAGCCCACACCTTACAAAGGGATTCATTTAAGTAAAATGTGTGAAACTTTTTTTTTTTTTTTTTACAAAAATGATCAGTGGAAAATGTCCTGAAGCCATTTCTGACCTTAGGTTGAAACCTGGAAGGAAGTGTGTATACAACAGACATCAAAAGAAATAATAATAATAAAACAAATTATCTACTTTTGTAAGATTTGATTTGTAAGCAGCATATTTTAAATACATGGATACAAATTGATCAACAGAATAATTTGGAATTACTAACATGAAATAAATTTAGACAAATATTAACTACTACATTCCTTAGTTCCACTAGTTCAAACCTTCACAGTAAGGCAAGGACATGCCATGCCACTTACATGGTAGCAAACCACCCACATTGCCTCTGTATATCAGTGGTGAGATTAAGTTACACTTGATCAGCTTCTTCATGTTAACCACTGTTCTATGGAACCAACCCCCAATTTGATGTTTACCTGATCACTACACTCTTAAACTCTTCAAGTTTAGGTTTAACCATTATCTTTCTCACCTATCCACAAAAATTGCTTAAGGTAACCCTTTACTTTGAGTAGCCTTTGGGCATTGTACAGGGTGAATCTTACTGTAAAAAAAAGAAGTCATAAAGCATCTGCAGATTTTAATGTTTTGAATGTTATAAGTTCTATAAAATGATAATATCCTTTATTATTTAGGAAAAAGTCCAGAAAAAAAAATAAAGGCAATAAAAATTACTTAATTTCATATAACCAAGCAAATGTGATTGTTATTATTGTATTAGTATAAGGCATTTAATTTTGCAGTTTTAATTTTAATAAAAGATTACTTAAAATAATTTGCATTCAAATTATAAGGAATATTGTAGCTGTAACATAATGTATAAAAAAATTCAGAACTGGACTTTCTTACTGGTGCCTATTAATAGCAATATTTCTTTGAGAGATTAAAGTGGAATAATACAAAAAGATGAGATGAGATAAGCACAATTATATTATATTCACATGTGCATGTGTGAGAGAGAGGGTCAAAGGAAGAAATGGAAAGATGATGAGACAGAGAGAAGTGAAAATGAGAGTGAAAGAGAAAAGGAAAAAGGAGCAAAAGAAAGAAGAGGAGGAGGAAGGATAGAGGAGGGGAGGAAGGAGAGAGAGAATGGGTGCAAGAGCAAGAAAGAGAGGAAGGGAGAGAAAGAGATAGGGTGCAGGATGTTTGATAGGATGATAACCAACCATATATATATATATATATATATATATATATATATATATATATATATATAAGAGAGAGAGTTGTCTGTAAAAACTGAACAGATAGACCTGTGGATAGTTTACTGAGCAACACGCAAAACATCTGGCAAATTAAGTAGCTTAGTTTAGTTTGCTAGATAAATAAATGAATACTCAGGTCACTAACTATCAATTTAAGTTAGAAAATTAAATTATGTCTGTAGGTAACATCATGTGGATGATAAGAAAAAAAGACTACTTAATGTACAAAAATAAATCTATACTGTTATGACTATGAGCATAGATTAAAAACACTGACCTTATGTTACTTGTTGCTGTTATAAAATGTTCATTTTCTTTTTATGATTTAAAAATAAACACAACTAATTCAGTCTACCTTTGTTTTTAAAAGCCAACATCTTTTTGGTGAGCAATTTGAAATAAGTCCTTAACTACTTGAGTTTAGTTTTATTCCTTTTTATAATTTATGTTATTGAAGCAAACATCTGTTATCAGGTAGATTTCTTTTAATTTTCTTTTATTACTTCAGTCTTTAAGCTAAGCTTTGCAGAAACTTGCAAAAATTTACATATAACACATGAGCAAAAATCTTCTCTCAAATAAAAATTACTACTGCTACACATTTTTGTTGTTTTCTTTTTTCTTTTATGTCTACATTCCTTTTATCTCTTCATCTTTTATAACATAATTATTCCCCCTCCTTCCTTTTCTTTATTTGAAAATTAATTTTATTTGATCTCTCTTTTTATTTCATCCATTTCATTTCTCTTTCCCTCCCTCTTACAAACATACACACAGAACTTCTCTCACTTCCTACCAAATAAATTCATACAACTTTGCCTGTTTTCTTTCACACTCACACACATTTTTTTTAAAGAACAAAGTAAGGAAGTAACTTTAACTTTTTTTAAATTTTTTATAAGGCATGGACACAACTCTGGGTAGAGAGTTATATTAATAGGCAGTATATACAGATGGGAGGTGGGGGGGGATAATGGTTAACCCCTAGACTTAAACAAGTTACAATTGTAGATATCAGGGAAACATTTTCTTGGGAGCCAGTTCCACAGGGCAGTGGTTTGCAGGAGGAAGAAGCTGTTCAAGTGCAACTTACTTCTCACTGATGGAATACAGAGGGTTTGTGGGTGGTTTGCTACTATGTAAGCGGTATGGTAGGTCCTAGCAATACAGATTAGGACCAAGGAATATAGTTCATCCGAGCACTTTTCATGGAAGTATTTATAAAGTAGTAAGAGGCTTGCCACATCCACCTGTGAGTGAGAGGATGGACAATGAAAAGTGAGGACTGGGCAGCTCCCACCCATATGTAACAAAAGTACACTATTCTCAGCCTGATCTGGCTCTTGTAAAGATAGAAGATAGCATGAGGAGTCGAGTAATTACTGGAGTAGTACAGGGAGCCAGCCATTTTTCCTGAACTTTTAGCAATGGATCCATTTGAGGTCAGGTGTTAAGTTTAAGGCGCAATATTCTCTCAAAGAAAAGAGTCTCCATTTTACCATTAAATTGTAATGCAAAAATAATACTAGAAATGTTGACTGACATTATTTCACCATTCACTTAATTAATCCACTTAATTAATCTTTAGAGCCTGAACATATTTCAATCTTTCATCATAAACTTGTTTTCACATCAAATAAAAATACTTTTTCTTTTTATTTAAATACAACAACACTTGTACATTTCACTATCAATTAGAACACCTGTCCCTTTGCTTGCTCCAACTTTTCCAGATATAAGAAAGGAAAAATTAACATTTTAAACTTTCTCATAAATAGATTCAATTCATAATTGTACAAAATGAATCAATGAAAATAAATGCAACCTGGAAGAATCTAAAGTGCAGATTTAATTAATATGCTAATTAATTTATAATTTTCTTAAAGATTTGTTACAAATGGACAAATTCATTTTTGTAGATGATGGAAAAAAGAAAAAAGATGATGCAAAGAATTTAAGATGCAACAAAATAGTGGTCAGATGTTAAATTTGATTAGCAAAATAAATAAAAGATTTAAATAAAAATAAAGAATAAAGAAAAAAAAAGGCATTTGTAAAAAGTAACAAAAAAATAAAATATGAAAAGAAAGAAATATACAAATGAAACAACTGCATTAGAAAGATTGCTTTTCTTGTCAACTTAATAACACCAAATGATGACGGCTTTAAAAGTCTTAAAATCATAAAAGTAGAAGCAAATTAAAAAAGAACCTGTGTTTGAAATGTGATATTCCTTCCATTCTAAACACTCATAATTATTAAGGATTATGAGGAAAATTATATCTCATAATTATTGATGTGGTGGCTTGATTCTCATAGAAAATAAGAGAAGAAAAGATCAATCTAAAAAGGAAGTTATAATCTGAGAGAGTGAGAAGGAGGGAAAGAGAGGAGTGGTGGTGCAACCATTAAGAGAATGA